TTTATAAGGTTCTAATAATCTAAAGGCTAAGGGAAATTAAAATAAGCACAAAATATAAGCTTGGGACCCAAGAGATTCATTAATTTTTTTTATACAAGTAAAATAAAACATTTTAAGTTCTTCTGGTCATAATTGTGGATATTTTTCATTTTAGTTTAGACATCACAAGTTTCATGTTAAGAGCACACTGRACATACTGTTGGAAAACAGACGGGAACTGGAAGCAGTTTCACAGCTGTTTTTTAGTTTGGCATGTTCACTGCRGCGTTATCTGTATCAGTGTTTTCTAGGGCAGCACTACAATCACTGTTTTGTACACAGCAGGAAATGCAGTCATCAGACATTCTTTTTTTTTTTTAATAAGACCGTTTCCAAGAATTATAGCCACAGTACACAAATCTATTTGAGATACCAAAGTACAAATAATTTATTATACAAAATGTGTTTCTTTGATTTGCACACAGGGATTTTCCAGTTTGTATTGATTCTTACATCATATTAGCATTCTTCTGGTTTAAAGGAACAGTGAGTAATGTTTAGGCATATCTTTTAGCGGAATTTAAGATCGGAAAAGGAAATATGGAAATATGTTTCGTCTGTCATTGTAGCTATGACAATTTTACGTACCGGTATTACTTTTCGTAACTTTCTAATGAAGTGAATCTTACCACTTGAAATGGCACTGTTTCTAAAGCTGCCATTAGGCATCATGTTTGGGAGAATCAAAGATTTATGACACCTGATTTTTTTTTTTCTGCTTGGCCTTCAGAGGAGTCGGACGCTTTTTGCTCTCACCCGAACCTGTCCCTCTTTTCCTGCTTCGCAGCTTTTTCGCAGCTTTTACAAGCCTTTCTTCTACCTATCATCCGAAAACAAAAGGAACTATGGATTTGGTCAACTGGTCTCTGAACGCAATTGACACTATTTTTTTTCCACATTAAGATTGGAGAGAGGGGAGTGCAGCTGTCCAAGTGGAATGGTGGCGACTGGTCAGGTCACTGGTTCCTGGGGTTGGAACCTGATCTGTTTGGCAGCGCTTTCCATTGAAGACGTGGAAGATTTGTATATATTTGGATTTATGATAACTGGATTCCTGCTGATCGRCTGTGGAGGAGTCCTGGCTTATCGGAAAATGAAAGTGATCCTGACAGCAGTCCAGGCCTGTCAAAAGCTGTCAGGGACCTTGGATGGAGTCTTCCATATTGGAAATGCACAGACTTAGATGCTGGGGGAAATAAGTTGCAAACTGGACGTGATTCTGCTGAGAATCACAGTTCAGTAGCGTGCCCGTGAGGAGTAGGATTACACCTGGGTGAAGTTTCAGACGGAGAGAGAGGCATTGAGGTGATGAAATTCTGAACATTCAGCATTTTTTTCGCCGTTACAGAGATGCAGTTAAGACTGTAAAGCAGCAGTAAACCCAAGGATGCTTGTCCCAAAACAATYATGTTTATCTTTTGGATCCCTGCAGCTGCTGACCTTGGAGCTCRGAAGTTATCAAAACTTCCCTGTATGACATGAGAACAAAGACTTGATCCCCCATTCCCTCCCCCGTATCATCCGTGGGTGGGCCAGTCCGAAGGCCGCGGTGGTGGTATGGTGACAGACAACTGAACTCTGGGAACTGAGGTTGGGTTGATAACAAATGGTTTTGGACTCTGSGGGTCTTTGATTGGTTCCAGCACAGAGTATTGACCTGAAACGTCACCGGCTCCGCTGCATCCCACCCCGTACCATGTGTTTCATCAGCCCCCTCCCCCCAGCACATGCCTCGGTGTTTGAGTAAACATAGGATCAGAGCAGCATCTTTTTTTAACACTGCTTTCCTATTGTTTTCTGTGTTTCCCAAGCTGCAAAAGGTAGCGCGACCCATTGCATAAGATCTGTTCATTCGTTCCCCMATGTTTGTCATGTGTGTCTTTCCCTTAATGGATGTTCTAAACTGCAAATTTTGTTCTGCCTTTCATCTTTGATGTCGTATGTGAATGACAATAAAGCTATTCTGATTCTGACCTGATGGCCACCRTAGAGACTCCGATGTGTTTGGATTGGGTGGGGTGGAATGATTTTTCATTTGGTTGCAATAARGAACCTCAGYCACTAGATGTCGCTGGATTTTGCACACTGTTCCTTTTAAAGGAATGTTTTGTAAACAATGTTGTATGAACACTTTGTTCTGTAGTTTTTCATTTTGACTGACCAAAAGTGAATATCTTCCTTTTTTTTAATCTCTGCTTTTGTTTTTGCGTTCAACAGGAACAAAAGCAATTTATTCTACTTCAATATCATGAAATGTGCCAGCCCCATGGTGCTGCTGGAGTTTCAGTGTCCGACCACACAGGTGGGAACTACATCCGCTCCATCATGATCTTTGCTCTATATTTTTTGTTTTATTTGAGGATGTGATGACTTTTCTTTTTCTGCTTCTTCTTCTTCTTCTTCTTCTTTTTCATGGTCACACAGTTTGTTAGCTGCTGTTCTCTTCCTGAATTTAATGTGACTTTGTCCTTTAAATGTTCATCTTTAGATGTGTGTGCAGAGTTGCCCAGATAGGTTTTTGACGTTAGTCAATGCGTACGCCAACACAAAGGACTTTGACTACTACAAGAATTATTGCAAGGAGGGTGTGACGCAGTCAATGGTGAGCTGCAGTGAGAACATTTTTTTTGTTAGTATCATTCTGTATCCTGTCATTGTGATTGAATTTTTTTTGTACCACAATACAGGGTGTACCCAAAATCCTCCAGTTAGGTCTCTGTCCTGCTATGTTGATACCCAGCAAGCCCTGTGAGTTGAAGTTCTGAAGTATTTGTAAAATATTCAATTTCTTCATATTTCAAGACATTTTATTAGAATTGTGTTGCTTACATCCTGTCTTATAAAGTAGCTGAAAGTGTACCACGTCGTGAAATCAGTATTTGACAGTCATTTTTCTTTGTTGTCTTTCAGTCACCCGAAGGTGCTTTCCAGCTTTAGGCTTAAAAGATGGCAAAGTGACTGTAGGAAACAACACTCAGTTTGACGATGGATCTGGAAACATGAGGGATGCCAAGGATCTTGTAGATGGAGTAAAGTAAGTGGATCTGTCGTCACAAGGAGTAACACTGCTCTGTAACCACTTTCAGACCCTATTTACATGACAGATGGTTTTAAAACATTTCTGCTATGAATGCCCACACGCAGGTTATTTGGTGAGGAAATATTTTGATCGTTAAGCTGTTTCCAACGTGGACATTTCTAAAATTTCAGTTTTGGTGGATCTGTGTAGACAGGAGTTGTATTTTTTTTAGAAACTTATAGCAACGTACAGGTATATTGAGTTACGAGAAAGAAATTTTAAAATGTGTGATTACAACGTACATGTGATTATGTAACATTTGACACCGACAGTAGATAAACACTCAGATGTSTCTCTGTAGAAATGCCACTTTGGTTATTGAAGCTCGTCAGACGATTATGAAAATYTTTGAGGATTTCACTCACTCGTGGTACTGGATCATCCTGTGAGTTTTTAAATCTTCATTATTATGGTTTCTTGTTGTTGTTTGATTTTTCTTTCTTCACTCACACCCTGCTTGCTCTCTCTACTTTCTACAGAGGGTTGGTTATTGCCATGGTCATCAGCTTGCTCTTCATCTTCCTCATGCGTTTCCTGGCTGGCATCATGGTCTGGATCATCATTGCTTTGGTGATAGCTGTGATAGGATACGGTGAGAGCCAAAACCCAATATCTCACTATGGACCTTTTTTTACTTTCTTCTAAATAACTCGATAATCTGGCAGCTTGTTTAGAAGTCAATTCCAAACAGCTGACCAGAGTTGGTTTATTAAATCCTGAACGTGCCCAGYAGAGATGAGTAACACTGTTTGGGTACAAAAGTAAAATGTGAGAAGGCAAGAAGTCGTTCAACTCAAATTGTTACTGTTGACTGGACATGTTTCAGAAATTAGTCTTCAGAAGGAAATGGTCGTCATGACTGAATGCTATCAGCTCTGCCCACACTGTTTCTCATGTRTATCTGAACACAATTACAAACATTTCTGACAGGGTAACATTCACTTAAAAAGAGAGGTAAATGTCATTACTATAGTAGCAAACAAGAAAAGGCTGTAACCACAATTAGACACAATTAGCCCAGAGAGATACCACATTTTTTTATTAACAGTATAATACAACATGCCTAATATAAGGATATGATTTTTTTTCCTGTCAAGATATAAAACTTAAATAAAAAATGTGTTTGTGTAAAACCCAATGAGATTCTTTAAATAAAACTGCATTTTTTACTTTTTCATTTCTTTCAAAATCTTTACAATCTTCTATATAAATAGTCTCTAGTTGGATGCTGAAAAGCACAGGGGTCTCTCCTGTTAAAGTAAATTTGAATGAATGAATGATACTTTATTGATCACATGAAGGGAAATTATAGTTTGGAACAACCTGTTTAAGAGAGGTAAATGTCATCACTATAGTAGCAAACAAGAACATCACAAGTCTGTTGTGATGTAGACAAAACACAACAGACTTGAAGAACAGGTGCCCTGGGTCCAGCAGCCATGCAAGGTGCTACCCTTAAAAGAAAAAAGAAAAAGCCATCATGAGGATAGGTGAGGATGATTTAAAAAAACTCGTACTTTCAAATTTTTCTCCTATGATGTTGTATCCTAGCCCCTTCATTAAAACCTTGTTTTATTTCTCATGTTAAAACTGTTTGTGGGTTTGTTTGGGTGCTTTTAGGTATCTTCCACTGCTACATGGAGTATGCTGCCCTTAAGGGACAAGCAGGTGCTAATGTGACCATCCAGGAACTGGGCTTCCAGACCGACTTCACAGTCTACCTTCAGATCCGACAGACGTGGCTGGCCTTCAGTCAGTACATCTCCCACATCCACATGTTCTTTAGTTGCTGTTAAAATGGGACATTATTATAATCTCTCTCTCTCTCTTCCTGTTGTCTTTCAGTGATTATCCTGGCCATCACAGAGGTCATCATCATCCTACTTCTCATCTTCCTCAGGAAGAGGATTCTCATCGCTATTGCTCTCATTAAAGAGGCCAGCAAGTCAGTATTCACAGCAGAACATTTAAAATATAATAATTAAAAAAACATTAAAAACAGATGTAGAGTACTTGGTCAAAGATTGTTCCAACTTAARAATAATTTCAGTGCGATGATTCTTAACGAAGTAAAATGTTCAGCTAACAAAACAAACTCAAACATATCTGGATAAATGGACATTACATTTTTGATTTGTAACAATCAGTGATTTTTCTTTTCTGCCTCCAGAGCCATTCGATATATGATGTTTTCCCTTATTTACCCACTGGTCACTTTCCTTCTCCTGGCCATCGTCATCGCCTACTGGGCAGTAACTGCTGTGTATCCTTTTATTTTATTATTTTTCTGTTAGTCTATTTAATATTTATTAAAAAGCACAAGTTTGCTCACTTAATATCTTGGGATTTTTTAACCATTGAATTAATTTTTCTTGCAGTATTTTATTTGACAGTATCTTAAAAAGCAACATTTTGAATTGTCTGTAAAGAAATACAGTGAGATCAAGGAAGTTCAAACTTGGCACAGCTCTCATAAGGTCCTGCTCTGTTAGTTCAGTTCAGTCAAGTTGAAGTCTGGACTTTGACCTAAGCATTTATTCTTTTTATTTATTTATTCCAGCCAATTAGTTGTAGTATTTACTTACTTACTTACTTACTTACTTATTTATTTATTTATTTATTTATTTATTTATTTATTTATTTATTTATTTATTTGGAATAGTCTAGTTGCACGAACCACTTATAATCTAGTTTGAGCTGAAAGACAGATGGGCTCACATTTGATTTTAGTAAACTTTGGCTTACAGAGGATTTTACTGCAAGGTGCCCGGGTCCTGTGGCTAAAAACCCTGTCCAAATCATCATTCCTSTCCCACTGTGCTGGACAGTTGGTGGTGTTTTTACCAAACATCGCTCTGTGCATCTTTATTTTTCTCTCATCTTCTAAAGAACACTGTTTCAGAAATCTTATATGTCATTCAGACAAACTTTTGCAAACCTAAATCGGTAAGAGAATTTCTTCAGCAACCCTAAACAAAGCATACTTTTTCAGTCTTTTCTAATTGTCCATTTGTGAACTTTAACATTTAACTCACTAAATGAGTTCTGTGATGGAGATTTTGATTCTTTTCTCAATCTCTCGGAGCATTGCACAATCTTCCTTTAGGGTGACTTTGTCAGGGGAATTCCTTCAATATTTGGTAACCATCTTTTTTCCCCCCTCGTTGTGAACAGTATGTCTTATTGTAGAATAGTGGACTTCCAGTTGTTTGGAAATGACATTTACTAACCCCTTCGTTGTTGACATCTTTTCTTGTCATAAGACAAAAAGGAAATATGAAAACCACTTCACTTAAAAACTTGTAGCATCCAGCAGAAGWCAGCATTTTATATTTCCTTCATCAGACTATTACATTTAACCTTGTATGGTTACTGTCAGGGCAAAGAGCCTGAAGGTCTGCATGCTTTATCACCAGGAATAATTTCCTATGGACTTAAACTTAAAATGCAGTTGTAAGGTCTTCACGATGCATTAGAATTAGGGTTTCATGCAGGATAAAAATGAAATTTTKTACATGCATGAATAYRTACAAAAATTACTCTTTTTGTATGTCCATGTGAGTGTGTTAAAGTGCTTTTTGTCTGGCCTGTCACCTAGTACCARTCTGCTTTGGGAGACCCTACCAGAGGCAGTTTATTGGCAGGCTGGACCGACGCGGCCTGACAGCTGCCTATCACTGTTGTAGAGTTTAGAATAGTTTTAAATTGGAGACATGGATGTTTTTTTTATCCCTCACTGATTCAAAGGAAAATATTTTGGATGCAAAATGAAACTTGATGTCTGGGAATGAAACAGTAATTTTTTGTTTTTGATCTAATTCTTGCCGACCATAAACCTTGACAGATCAGTTTCTTATCAACCTCCAATGAGGCCATCTACAAAATTTTCAACACATCTGCGTGTGAATACTCGAGGCAAAATTGTGATCCAGCTGTAAGTATTTCTTTTTTCTTCATTTAACCTTTTATTTAACCAGGAWGTCCCATTGAGATTAAAAACCTGTTTTTCAAGAGGGACCCGGCCAAGATCTGCAGCAGCAGCAAATACAACAGTCTCTTAAACAAGTCCTGTAGTTTCAGGTTCAAWGCCAAAACTGCAGTAGAGAGGTGGATTTCAGCAGTTGAATTTTCTTCATATCTTGTAAATGATTACAGCTACAAATATAAGCTATGAGCAAGTCATGCTGTAGTGAATCCACAGGTTTGCAAAATTAGCTTTAGTAAAAGGATAGGCCACACAGTACATGTGGAAGGCCAGAGACTCTAACCCAGAAAAAGGTACACTATATTGCCAAATGTATTTGCTCACCTATCCAAATGATTGTGCACCAGTGACAAAGCAAAGTCTATAAATTCATGGATGTCAGAATCTGGTGTGGATGAACTTGACTGRYCTGCACAGAGTCCTGACCTCAACCTGATAGAACACCTTTGGGATGAATTAGAGCAGAGACTGATGGTGGATTCACACCAAACACGTTTTGAGCTGCAGGAGCAGCCAGTTTACATGCAAAGTCTATGGTGGACGCGCCTTTAGGGGTCATGCGGCATGCCACGTACGTTTGGCGCGGTGCGCAAGGAATGCGCGTGCCTGAGGTGCGTTGAAAGCAGCYGACGCCAGAGTTCAAAAATCTGAACTTTCGCCGCTTGATGCGTCTTGACAACCAATCAGAGACTCATTTTTCCACATGACAGTTTCCTGAATGTTGCCCACTAAACCAAAACAGACGGACAGGAGCTCTTTAGCTGAAATTGACAGTCTGCAGTTGGATTTTCTGGCAGGATATATCAGTACCGATGTGGGTCAGCTGCTCAGGACAAAAAAAGTCAGTCAGCTGGCAGCTTCTGGAGTGGCAAAACTAACTGGACAAATCGCCTCTAAATCATCTGAGTTAATTATCTGCTGTGCGCAACGCTCGCTTGCTCTTTAGTAAATAAATCAAAGCCATTTTCTTTATTTTATCTTTATTTCATCCGCTGAGGACAGACCGGGAAAAAACCAAGATGCTCTGCCCTCTTCAGATGCACGTCTGCTCTGTGTCCCGGTCTGAACATAGTGCGTCCAGCTGGAGGCGTTTGGTGCTTTTTTGCTGCTCAAAACATGTTCAGTGTGAACATGGCATGAAAGCCAGGTCTTCTCCAACATCAGTATGTGACCTAACAAATGTGCTTCTGGAAGAATGGTCAAAAATCCCCATAAACACACCTAAAGCTTGTGGACAGCCTTCAGAAGAGTTGAAGCTGTTCTGGCTGCAAAGGGAGGACCAACTTCATATTGAACCCTGTGGATTAGGAATGAGTGAGGCAGGTGAGCCAATACTTTTGGCAGTATAGTGTATGAAAAATCCAAAAAATTGAATCCTTCAGAACAAGTTCATACAAAACCTTTTTAAATAAAATGTTTAGAAACTCATTAAAAATTTTGGTTCAAACAGCTTATTAAAAGAAAGACAAAGCAGACGAGACACCAAACAACAGACATGCTGCCATCTTGGAAAACATTTACATTACTACAGGTTGCAAAACATGTTTTTACTGGAGGCAACTTTTCAAAGTATCATTTTATTTTTTGCTCTCATGAATCATTTAATATTTAATTTTATTAATAAATGTATTGTTTGTTTTTTCCTGACTTCAGAACTACTCAACAAGTTCCATGAAAACACAGTGTCCTGACTCGCAGTGTCTTTTTGCCTTCTACGGTGGAGAAACGGTTTACCACAAATACCTGATCGGCCTGCAGTTCTACAACGTCTTCCTCCTCTTCTGGTGTGCCAACTTCGTTATCGGTCTGGGACAGATGACCTTAGCTGGGGCTTTTGCCTCGTACTACTGGGCCTTTTCCAAACCAAAGGATATACCCAAATCCCCCGTATTTTCTTCCATGGGGAGAGCTCTCAGGTGTGTAGTTTCTTGCTGATTATTGTCGATTTGTCATTTGATGGAGTTGTTTTTATACTTTTCAGACTTACTTGTACTCTATTTAAGGTACCACACAGGAAGTCTGGCGTTTGGCTCTTTAATCCTCGCAATCGTTCAGGTTATCAGGGTTCTTCTGGAGTATTTGGACCACAAACTGAAAGGTCTCGTGCTTTCTGTATTAATGGAGTTTTGTAGATTAATAACACGTCTTAATACTTAAAATAAAATAAACTATTGTCGTCTGTTATATATATATATTTTATCCACAGGAGCCCAAAACAAGTTTGCAAAATTCCTGTTGTGCTGTCTGAAGTGCTGCTTCTGGTGTCTGGAGAAATGTATCAAGTTCCTGAACAGAAACGCCTACATCATGGTGAGAAGGGAATACAAAGCAAGCTGTTTAAAAAGCAGGCCTTCAAAGTTTAAGTYATCTCAAAACCTAAAGTCTACAATCTGTTTAACTAAAGTGGACTATTGTTTTTTTTTTATTTTACAATTCTGAAAATGATTAGGTGCTCTGTCAGATGAAGTATCAAGAAATATAACAAATTGTCAAACACACAAATTTGGTGACATTGCAAATGTTAATTGTTTTAGTTGTATTTACATTTGTGAAAATGGATATTAAAATGATATTTGTTTCCATATTGAGATGGGGCTTTGTGAAAAAGTTCTGAATTATTAATCTTATGWTGTTTATGGTTCTTTGAATGACCTCATTCTGGAGGAATAGTTTAATTTCAACAGGACAGATGAGCTAATGATTAGTCTGAGTGGGACTATGACCCAAACAGATTTGCTGTGTTCTCCATCAATTCTGCATTAATGTATTTATTCGCGTATAATACGAGAAATTAACCCCAAAAATCATCCATAAAGTGGTGGTGGTATACATGGTGGTAAATATTGACAGATTTTTTTAAATGTACAACCACAATAACCTTTAATATTCTCATATACTGTATTACTAAAATATTCCCCCTCCCTCCAGTTGTAAGTTGTGTAGCTGTTTACTCACCGGAATCAGGATAATTTTTTTTTTCTTGTTAACTGTGAAAATGTAAAATAGAGTTGGACTTTAGTTTCATGTTCTGATTAATCCATCTTAATAATTTACCAACCRGCTTCTGCTCTGGTCTGGGAGTGAATTTTTTTTTCAATGACRCCGAACGAGAAACTTCCGCTGCACATCCTCTGCGGCTCTGCAGCAAAACGCTCCTGCACAAGTGCGTCTCCCAAACTTTTCCACCACCAGAGGGCGCACCGCAAAGGCTGAAAAATCCTGAAGTTAGTCTGAAATGAGTGATGGCTCACAACATGATTTAGATTTTTAAAATTCTTTTAAAGCTAAATAAATGATAGTATTATACCACTATAAAAGTTTTAACATGGAGCTACTTTAAGATGAAAGCCATTCTCCTTGGTCCAAGTTATTTTTGGACTAGCTYTTAGCTCATCAGTCCTGTCAGACTTGAACTCTTTTTTTTTCAAACTGAGACGATTTAAAAAGCCATCTGCAACATGTAAGATGGCAATTAACTCTTCAACACCTCACACTGAAAAAAAATCCTTTTAATAACACCAGAACATTTAATAAAAAAATGACATGGTGTTATCAGGCTCAACTCAAAATGTTTAAATTAATGAAGGTTTCCTTTAACCATAATCTGGTTATGTGCAGAGAAGTTGGATAATCTGTTCAGATAAGATCCACCTTATTGACACTGAACTCTGATTTGTTTATAATTTAAATTAAATTCTATAAAATAGATTTGTCTAAAATTTAATTTATATCTCCTTGTTGGACCTCTCTCTGGTGTTACTRTTAACTGTTATGGATGTAATTTGTRTGTTTGACCTCTAGATTGCGATTTATGGCAAAAACTTTTGCACTTCTGCCAAAGATGCCTTCCTCCTCCTCCTGAGGAATGTTGTCAGGTGATTTACTAATTTGAATCTGAACTGTTGTTTTATTGTTATGCATTTTCCAGACTAATATGAACTTTTTATTTTTTCCACTCAGGGTTGTGGTGGTAGACAAAGTGACAGATTTTCTCTTGTTTTTGGGAAAACTTCTCGTCGTTGGGCTTGTTGGTCAGTATGTTTCATTCATGTTTGATGCTCAGAAATGTAAATTAAACAAACAGCCTTTCTTGTGAAAACTAAATATATAATTATATAATATGTGTGAGGCTTGACTTTATTTGTTGCTGTGATTGTAATTTGAAGTTATTTTGAAGTATCAATTAATTCAGTATAAATCACCAGTATAATAGATCTGCACCAGCTTTAGACTTTAATGTACTTTGTGCAGTATAACTGAAGTGACCATTTTATCTCCTTGGACAGGGGTCTTTGCTTTCTTCTTCTTCTCTGGAAGAGTCCAGGCTTTTCAGAATACAGCTCCTAATCTGCACTACTACTGGGTACCCATCCTGGTGAGGATGAAATGACTTTTAATCATTTTTCTCGGGTCAGATTGTGTTTGTTTTGTTTTATAATTTTGGTTTTGTTCCTGACTTCCAGACTGTGGTGATWGGCTCATATCTCATCGCTCATGGATTCTTCAGTGTCTATTCAATGTGTGTGGACACACTGTTCCTCTGTTTCTGTAAGTTGTTCAATCCTCTGGTTGTTGTTTTTTTTTTTTTAAGATCCATACAGTTTTCAGTAAGTGGTACCTTGTAAACAAAATTTATAAATCGTGATGTGTCAATGAAAAGCTGCAAAAAAAAAGCCTTGATCTTCTAACTTTGCTCTTGGTTTTGGGCTGTCACTAATTCTTAATTGCTTCATTTTATAAAAAAGGTTTTCCACAAAGACATTTCTGCTTTGTTTCAACATAACAGTCTGCTAATTGTAACTCTTACCTGAAAGTTGGGGTTGCTTGTTGATGRACTTTAACTTTTAAACTCTGCATTGTCTGTCGGGAGCTTTTGCTTGCTTGTGGTTTGACTTTCTTTTCTTTTTGTCTCTTCCTTTTTTTTTCTTTTCTCACTTCCCACAAACCAACACCTTCCATTTCCCTTCTTTGTGCCTCTTCACTTTTTAATCCTAATCCTCTGTTCAAACCATTAACACATGCGCGCACACACACACACATTAAGGTGAAGACCTGGAACGCAACGATGGTTCAGCTGCTCGGCCTTATTACATGACGCCGAGTCTTCGTGAGATTCTGTGGAAGGATAAGACGGAGAGTCTGTCTTCACAGCAGCAGCTTGATGAGGACACCCAGCTGAAACAAGAGCCTCAGGAGGACACAGCTTAGAGACCAGGACTTAGAGACACAACATTTACAAACAGTTTTCAGCTGTTTGCAATCCTCAGAGGAARGAGCTGGAGTTCAGTTACCCAGTAGGACGTTAACACAGCTCCAAAACACCAAGCCTTAAAGTGGCACAAATGTAATGTTCAGTTTCAGGAAATCCAATTCTTTGAGTTGTAAACTGATATTATATGGTTTCCCTTCATCATGTGACTCTAATGGAAATACTAAATCCTTCAATTTCTTTGGTCTGGGGGTCATTGGAAATGTTAGGAATAAATACCACTCTTTTTAATGACCTTAATTTAGAGAAATAAATTATTTCTGACCAGATTAATGAGCCAACGACAACTCTGAGTGGAGCCTAGAGCCTAAACTGAACTGCTGCTATCTTAAAATAACTCAATATTTAAAAACAAATAGTGGATTCTAACTCTATAACACTATTCTAACACTGTGTAATAAAACAAAACCATTATCGGTTGCGCATTTTGCTGTTATTCTGGCAGAAATATAATRCATACTGTGCCAGAAGTGCTACAGCTAGCTGCTGCTGTCCCTGTTGGTTGGTACAGATAACTACAAATATCTATGCAAATAACTGTAATGAAGTTGATGACATTAAGGTTCGGTTTTATTTAGTGGTAGTTGCATCATTATGACCTTTTTGATATGAGGTTTTTAAGCAGCACTTTGGTCCTGGGCTAACAAAGATTAGCCATTAGCTTGTCAGTCCGGTCAGGGGAAAAAAAAACTTATCAGTTGTTTAGCTATTTCTTTAAATTCAATGCTGAAAATTTCAAACTTGCTTAACTGGTTTATTGAGAACACTTCTGTAGTGTGGTGTTTCATCTTAATATGACTAAGTTAGAAGTAGTTTACTTTAGATGTAGATTATTTTGTTCTCATGTGATTTCCCTGAATTCAAATAGACACCATATTAGACCATCTTTATTAAACTAAAAGCTTTAATTCGTTTAACCACAGCTTTTCGTTTTATTATAGATGGTCAACTACAGATAAAACTTAGCAACACTTTTAGCGTGTGCTTATCTGCGTTTTCCTCCAACTGTTTGTAAAGTTTTTACACTAGTTGGCTGATCGCTCACTGTTGGCATAAAGTGGATGGTCAGCTGAACTCATGTCTTGGCATAGGAATCATGGAATGAGGTAAAGTTTCTCTTCATAGCTAAATATTTTAAATAAAACTGACAACACTGTACTTTGTAAGTTCAGGCAAGCATCTGGACACTGCATGAATGACTTGTGTCTCCTAACTTCTGCCTCTTTAACATCTCGTCTCTTCCAGTAAAACTTGAACCCCGTCTTGTGCCTTTTTTACAGCTGATTTCAGAACCACTTGGGCCATTAGTTGGGAGTTTTGCGCAGTAAAGCACTTTAATTTTCACACTAAGCCATGTCAAATTTTAGTCTGTACAAGTGAACTGGGATTTAAACTTTTTTTTAGGATTTATATTTTGTATCTCTCTATAATAGATTTGTGCTTAGTCACTTGTACCGAGTCTAAGACAATAAAAACAAACTTGAAATCAAAGCTTTGTTCAGATTTGTCTGAATTATTGATAAGTTRCCTTTTTTTTAACCAAACTAAGTTTTGTCTGTATAAAATTTTCCTTTCACAACTATAGATGGTGAAGTTTTGACTATGATGTTTGTATTGAGCACAGTGACTTTACTACGTGTACTTAATGCATTTTCTTTTTTTAAATCTTCTTCCAGTGGAGGACTTGGAGAGGAACGACGGCAGCGCTGAGAAGCCCTACCTGATGTCAGAGAACCTCCGTAAAATCCTCAATAAGAAGAACAAGACRGACCCGGCTCAGTAAAACTCCATTTTGTTATTTTTCGCTGTTTAGAGGTGGTGCTTTTGGCTAAACCTGACTGAGGGGATAAACGCTGTCAGTCACCTGCAGAATAGTTTTTTTTACATGTCCTGCCAGGATCTTTCAGATTTTAAACATTTTATGTTCTCTATTATGAAGTTCAACATGTTTTAAAAAACTTATTTTATTTTTTTTAATTGAAGAAGCAACATACTTTAAGCATTTTTTAAATCAGCTTATATAACTGATGTACATATTTAAAATAGCTTTAAAATACGGTTTTGGGGATTTTTTATTCTTTTGCTTGTGTTTTATGTTAAGATACGTGTGACAGTGTAGTTGACTTTTTTTTAGAGGGATATATCAACTTTTATCAGCAACCGTACAGTATGTAAATGTACAACATTGTATTCATTGTACAGGACTATTTGAGGGTTTTCTGTATTTATGGAATTGAGATATTTTCAAATAAAAATGTTTTCATATAATTTTTTGTTTTCAGTCTTTTAATGTGTTTTTTCCCCAACTCAGTCCCCACAGAAGAGAAGTAGACAAAATTTGTAATACTCTTGCGGAATTAGCATGGCAAGAGAAGTATTTATTGTACATACAACTCACCGCATATGGGCAGTATACTGTATGACCCTCTAACACATTCTCATGTCGGACTCGTTACATATAGACGCTTGTCCCCTGCGCGTCCGTCTTTGCCGACTGCGGCATTTCCGAGTTTGCGTGACGTATGAGGTTAACATGAGGAATCAGGATTAAAGGTTAACTTTAGGGTCTGTGGTTAACATGAGGTTAGGGGTTACTGGTTAACTTTAGTCTGTGGTTAACATGAGGTTAGGGGTTACTGGTTAACTTTAGTCTGTGGTTAACATGA